TTTTAGACTGTGATCTCTGATAGGTAACAGGGATAATGTCTTATTTGTTCACTAGTGTATCCTTAAGTATTTGCAAAACAGCTGCTGTTGTTGTTAAGTGCCATTGAGTCCTTGTATAGGGTTTCTGAGGAGCAGCTAGTGGGTTTGAACCACCAACCTGACAGTTCAAACTGACCTTGCAGTCCAGTACTTACCCTATAGCACCACACCAGAATTCCACTACTCAATAAATAAAGAAAAAGCATATTAAGGGAAAAAAATCTAAGTTCGATTATATATGTTAATAGGGTCTTGGTGTGGCACCATATGATAAACCCTTGACTACTAACCACAGGGTTGACCATTCAAACCTACCAGCAGCTCCTCAGAACCCTATACAGCTTCACTATGAGTCGGAACTGATTGGACAGCACTTAACAACATATATTAATGAAGTCTCATTATTAGTCAGGCATCTAATGATGCTTGCTGTTGATAGGGAATGAGAAGTTCTAGAAGGTTTCTTGTACATTATTTTCACTAACTCAAAAATGAATGGTTACTATTCCCATCTTTACATCGAAATACAAGCTAACAACACTGTATTAAAAAAAAAAACTATTTATACTCTAGCTTTGTGATTTTTAGAATTTTGCTTTTGTAAAAGTTAGGTAAGTTTATTACTAACTTCTTAATTATATTTTCCAGAGAAAGAAGGAAAAAGGTACTTAGAATTCTACTGTCCAGCCATATTCTTATTAGATTCATTTTGATATATTTCCAGTTTTTTTGCACTCATACTATGACTCCACAGTTTCCCCCCACTCAATATAGGATACACTTTTGTTTGTTTTATACCAGTTTTGTAGCCATAAGCCAATACCAGATAATGATGTATAAAAGGGAAGTGCCATAGCTAATCCACTCATTTCCTGATAGTTGCATGTTTAGATTATTTCCAAATTTTCAACATGCTTAGTATTTCATTTAACATATACGTGGGCAGAAAGCGTTTGCTCCATAAACTAGTCTTACTACCTAAAAGGTTTAAACAATTTCAAGGCTTTAATAGCTTGCTCAATTAATGTGATTTTCCTATATTGTTTTTCATATTAAATCTTTGAAATCCAAAGATTTAGTATGAAAAACAAAATGTAAAAAAATCTCAGCAATATTTTGGTTACACTGGGTTAAATAAAGGAACTAGTAAAAATAGAGTCTACTCCTTTTTCTTTTTAATGTTGCCACTACAAATTTTTAGATTGCCTTTTTTGTGGCTTGCATTGTGTTCTACTGGTCAGCACTGCTCTAGTGGATTTCCATGTCTTTCAGAATGGCCTACTAGGCTGTATACAGTCTGTCCTCTGTTACCTTCTGATCTCCTCTTACTATGTTCCCTCTTGCACATGCCTCTCTAGCTACTCTCACCTCTTTGTGTGCTCACACATGCCAGGTTCTCTTCATCTTCACAGTCTTTGCATTTGGTGTTCTTGCTGCCTGGATTGCTCTGTCCCAGATACCCACATTGCCCATTCTTGCTCCTCCTTCATCCCCAATCTAAGATTACAGGCTCTTCCACCTAATCACGTATCTACCATAGTCACTATTTTACTTATTTATTGTCCATTTCCCCCAATAGAATGTGAGATTCTTGAAAGTAGAAAATTTTGTCAGTCTCAGTAATCCTTAGCATCACTAGAGGAAACTTTAAGCTAATTTATGTAATTTAAGGGACTCCTGGTGTGGCCCTGAAGTATTAGCACTGGACTTTTAACCACAAGATTGGTGGTTCAAATCCCCCAGCCACTCCTTGGAAAACCTATACAGGGTGGCTATGAGTTGGAAACAACTCAACAGCACTTAACAACAACAACAAATGGAGATCATATCTTATCTCTGCCAGTACTTTTCACATGTTGTTGTTAGGTGCCTTCAGGATATTCTGACTCATAGTCGTAGCAACGCCATAGATTGAATAGAACAACCCCATAGGGTTTTCTAAGATACACACTTTATATACTACTGTAAATGGAGTCCTGGTGTGGCACTGTAGGATAAGTAATGGACTACAAGATCATTTTGAATTACACGGTCACCAGCTATTCCTTGGAAACCCCATACATTGAGAACCAACTCAACAGCACTTAACAACAATACTACTGTAAACTGCCTAGCCCCTACCTTCTCTCCTGGTTTTCTTTACCCTGCTTTATTTTTCCCCCATATCACTTTTCATCTAATATAAGTAATAAGGGTACCTCAAAAAGTTCATGGAGAAATACCATTATCTTTTCATTCCTTTTACCCAGAAACTTTTTGAAGCCCCCTTGTATACTTTACTGATTTATTTATTATCTATTGTCTGCTTACCCTTGTTATTAAATGCCATCCAGTCAATTCCAAGTCATATCAACTCAGTATGGGGTTTCCAAGGAGCAGCTGGTGGGTTTGAACCATTGATTTTGCAGTCAGCAGTCCAGAATTTATCCTTTAGCACCACACCAGGTCTCTTATTGACCCATACACATTGACCATCAGAGTTTGTTCAGGGAGGTGTCTTAAGTGACTAAGAGAGTGCTCAGCAGGAGAAACTCAATGAGTATGTGCTGAATAAAAGAACACAAACAACTTTACAAAAAAACAAGCAAACATTAAAAACACTTTGAAAGCTTTTCTTCAGCTAATAAAATGCATATGGTCAAAGTCTTTCCCTATTATTTTCAATGGCTATGTAGCACATTGGACATATAATGCTTACCTAATCAATTTCCTTTAATCGACATTTAGTTACCAGCTTTTTGCTATTACAAATACTGAAATGATTGTTGTTTTTGTTGTCAGGTGCCATCGAGTCAGAACCAACTCATAGCGACCCCATGCACAGCAGAACGAAACAATGTCCGATCCTGGGCCAACCTCACTACCGCTGCCACACTTGACGCCATCAATGATGCCACCTGGCTGATTTTTCTCTGACCCTCCATCTTACCCAGCATGACATCCTTCTCCAGAGACTGTTCCCTCCTGACAATATGTCCAAAGTCTGAGAGACAAAGCTTAGCCATCCTGGCCTCCAAGGAGCACTCTGGCTATACTTCTTCCAAAACAGATCTATTGGTTCTTTTGGCAGTCCATGGCACTTTTAGTATTCTTCTCCAACACCACAACTCAAAGGCATCAATTCTTCTACGGTCTTCCTTATTCACTGTCCAGCTCTGGCATCCATATGAGGTTATTGAAAATACCATGGCTTGGGTCAGGCGCACCTTAGTCCTCAAGCTGACATCTCTGCTCTTCAACACTTTAAAAAGTTCCTGTGCAGCAGATTTGGCCAATGCAATACGTCATCTGATCTCTTGACTGCCACGAGTGTTGATAGTTGATCCAAGAAGAATGAAGTCCTTGACAACTTCAATCTTTTCTCCGTTGATAAGAATGTTGTTTATTGGTCCAGTGGTGAGTAATTTTGTTTTCCTGACATTGAGATGCAACCCATACCGAAGGCTGTGTTCTTTGATCTTCATCTGTAAATGTTTCAAGTCCTTTTCACTTTCAGCAAGCAAGGTTGTATCATCACTGAAATGACAGTCTCTTGATATATGTACTTGTTCACATGACTTATTTTCTAGTGAACTATTTTAAAAAGTAGAATTGCTGAACATACATATCTTTTAAAACAGATGTATTATATCCTGTTATGGAGCTGTAGGATAAGCACTGAATTGTTAACTGCAAGGTCAGTGGTTCAAACCCACCAAGTGCTCCAAAGAAATCGTATACAGGGTCATTATAAGTCAGAACCAACTTGAAGGCACTTAATAAAAACAACATCAATATTGTATAAATTGTCCATCTTCCTCCTTAATGAGAGGGGCACTAATGAAATGTAGAGTCAGATAAACCTGGGTTCAGATCTGGGCTCTGCTATTAATGAGTTAAAATTACTGTCGCTATAAAATGGGGGTAATTATAGCAGGAAGCTCACAGGATTGTACTGAGGATTCAACTAGAATAATGCATATGTAAAGCAGTCAGCACAGGGCTGAACACATAGTAATTATTCAATTAAATGTTTGTTTTTATTATCATCGTTTGAAAAATTCCGTTTCAAAGTGTCCTACACATTATTACAGAAACACCAACCTATTACTTCTAATAAAATACTTTAAAAAAGAAGCCCCATCTTTTTCTTGAAATTACATTTAATAAATCAGCATCGAATTAAAAGAATTCCTAAGCACAGTGTCTGTAACTCAGAGATAGTAATTTCACCGCCCAGATCTTTACTTTTGTTTTCCTCTTGACAGCGGAAAATCCCTGTAATCAAGAAGAGAAGAGACCAGAGAGGAACACAGGAAGGCAAACTTTGCCAAACAAGCTAGTGACAGATATTTCTTTTTTCGTTCCTGGGGTCTCAAGGGGTAAACTGAGGATTCAACTGGGTACTCAAGGGATTTGTCACATTTGTAAAGCAAAACAATGACAACTTCCTTAAAGCATCATTGGAAAAACTGGTGAGTCAAGGTGGTCTCTCGCTTGCCTTAGACGTGTGCTCGTACACACACTGCACAGCCCTACGGGCACATTTTCAAGACTTTTGCAGGCGCCGCGGGCTTTTCACCACGACCAGGCACTCTGACCAGACAACCCAGTCCTTCCAGTGGGTCGACCCCGGGAATCAACCTGCGCCTAAGCCTCAGCTCATTCCAAATTTCCCGGGGACGTTGGCTTGCTGGGCTTTAAATTAAAACCTGTGCCAGTCCCACAACCCCAAGAGCCTTGATAAATAGAAAATCACCCCCACGTCTTTCCCTATCTAGTAAAAGCAACTTCAACTCGGATGCAGGCGAGGGGCTCCAGCGTGGCATAGGTCCCGCTGCCCTACTCCGGCCCAGGGAGTCCACATCCGCCTCCCCGGCCATCGCCAAGAGCTGGGCGGCCAGAGGCCTCGGCGTATCCCGCGGACGCTCAGTCCCTGCGCCAACGTCGGCCTCGTACCCCTGCCCTCACGTAATACCAACCTAGTTCCTCGCGCCCAGCCACCTCGGCCGCCTTCGGCGCCGCCGCTTCCATCTCTCAGGAGTCTCCAGGACGCCGCCGCCCCGGTGATCGCTCTCCCGCCGCGGCAAGCCCAAGGCCTCCGGAACACGGTGGAACCAATGCCAGGCGTCCGCCTCCCAGCCTAGGCGCGCCCCACCGCGCGACACGGAGCATGCGCAATGAGGCGGCCCGGCCTTATCCCGATTTACGGGCGGGCTGCCAAGGAGGGTCAGCAGGGGTAGACTACCAGAGCTCAGCAACAGGAGGCCAAACTGAAAAAAGAGATGGCTAGCCAAAGAGGCAAGGAACAGGTCTCTACAATGACCACCTACTTGATATGGGGGTGCCCGTGGTAAACTAGAGGGAGTGACAGAATAGTGCAACAGTAGACTCTCACCACAATAATGGGATGGGGCTACGTTGTGGCGCTGTAGGGTAAGCGCCGACTGCTAACTTCAAGGTGGCGGTTCAAACCCATCAGCCGCTCTTCAGAAACCCGTTTTTGTTTTTCTTTTTCTTGTTAAGTGCTGTTGAGTCAGTTCCAACTCATAGCGAGCCTATGTGGAGTTTCCAATGAGCAGCTGTTAAGTTTGAACTGCATACCAAGTGATTCAAACCTTTCTTGCTTTCTCCTACAGCACCACACCAGGTCTCCACTATACACGGTTGCTATAAGTGGGAACAAACTGTTGTTGTTATTGTTAAGTGCGTTGAGTGGGTTCCAACCCATAGCGACCCGTGTATGTGTATAGGGTTTTCAAGGAGCAGATGGTGAGTTTGAACCACGGACCTTATAATTCAAATGACTTTTCAGTCTGATGCATTAGCCCACAGCGCCACACCAGGACTCCAGTGTAGACATGCTTTAAAAAATGGAAGAAATTAAAGGTAAAAGAGCTGAATGGAAAATTTCAAAAGGCAACTCTAGAAGACAAAGTCAAATATTGTAACAAAATGTGGAGTTAGAAAACCAAAAGGGAGAACATGCTCAGCATTTCTCAAACTGAAAGAACTAAAGAAAAAAATTTCAAATCTCAACTTGAAATATTGAAGGATTCTGTGGGCAAAATATTGAATTATGAAGAAAGCATCCAAAAAGATAGAAGTAATACACAGAATTACTGTACCAAAAAAGAAATAGTCGATGTTCAACCATTTCAAGAGGTACCGTATAACCAGGGGCCAGTAGAACTGCGGGAGGAAGTCCAAGTTGCTTTGGAGGCATTGGCACCAGGAAATGATGGAATACAAAATGAAATATTTCAACAAACTGATGTGGCACTGGAGGCACTCACTCATTTATGCCAAGAAATTTGGAAGATAGCTAACTGGCTAACTGATTAGAAGAGATCCATATTTGTGCCCATTCCAAGGAGAGGTGTCTGAATGGAATGCAGAAATCATCAGGCAATATCATTAATATCACATGAAAGTAAAATTTTGCTAAAGAAAATACAAAAACAGCTGCAAAGGTACATTGACAGAGAACTGCCAGAGGTTCAAGCTGGATTCAGAAGAGGACGTGGAGTGAGGGATATCATTGCTAACATCAAATGGATTTTATGAAATCAGAGAATATCAGAAAGATGTTTATTGACTATGCAATGGCTTTCAATAGTGTAGATCATGACAAGCTATGGACAACATTGTGGAGAATGAGTATTTCATAACACTTAGTTATGCTCATGATGAACCTGTATGTAAACCAAGAGACAGTTGTTCAAACAGAACAAGGGGACACTGAATAGTCTAAAATAAGGAAAGGTATGTATTCTTTCACCATACTTATTCAATCTGTATGCTGAGCGCATAATCTGAGAAGTTGGATTATATGAAGAATAAATCAGGATTGGAGGAAGACTCATTCAGAACAACCTCTAATATGCAGATGATATAATTTTGCTTGCTGAAAATGAAGAGGATTTATAATACTTATGAATATCAAAGACCACAGCCTTCTGTATGGATTGCACCTCAGTGTAAAGAAAACAAAAATCCTTATCACTGGACCAATAAATAACATCAAGATAAATTTAGAAAAGATTGAAGTTGTCAAAGATTTGATTTTGCTCTGATCAACCATCAATACTCATGGAAGTAGCAGTAAAGAAATCAACCAAAGTATAGCATAAGACAAATCTGTTGCACAAAACCTCTTTCAAGTGTTCTAGAGCAAAGATGCCAGTTTAAGGACTACGGTTCTCCTTACCATGGTATTTTCAATAACCTCATATGCATATGAAAGTTGGACAATGAATAAAGACCATAGAAGAACTGGTGCATTTGAGGTATTTTGTTGGAGAAGAATATTAAGTTTACTATGGACTGCCAAAAGAACAAACAAATCTGTGTTGGAAGAAGTACAGCCAGAATGCTCCTTGGAATCCAGGATAGCCAGACTTCATCTCTCATATTTTGGACATGTAATCAGGAGAGGCCAGTCCCTGGAGAAGGACATCATGCTTGGTAAAGTGGAGGGTCAGCGAAAAGGAGGAAGGCCCCCACCCCAACGATATGGATTTGCAGAGTGACAGCAGTTCAAGTGTCACAACCATTCTGAGGTTGGCACAGGATCGGGCAGTGTTTCATTCTGTTGTGCATAGGGTTGCTATGAGTCAGTACTGACTTGATGGTACCTAACATCAACAACACATAATGACTAATGATTGTTAACATTTCTTCATGTGTTT